CCGCAACTCTAGTTTGGGTAGATATTTGTTTTGGTTCTGATGGATGATCAGTCTGTGTGCGTACAGAGCTGGATGTGCTGGCCTAGCTCAGCATAAAGACTGGAAGCTGCCAGCCTGACTTAGCCTGGCTTAGCCTGGCTTAGCCTGGCTTCATCCAGAGGTCGGCATCACCTCTTTTTCTCACATGGTCACATGAGAAAGTAGCATAACGACGTGCATCAGTGCATCCTGGCTAAATATCTGGTTCTGGAACTTGTTGTCCGTTGACCAGACGGACTGGAGTTGTACCTTGAGGACAGTGCGTGGATGTTGTGGTGATGCCGTACAGCCGTGAGCGTTTCTGTGGCAGAAACTCTTCTGTCTCTCTCTCCGAGTGACGGTCGACGGCGACCACCGCCTCCCTGGGAAATAACCACAGAATGAATCATGCAAACCTTTCAGAGCGAGCTTTGACCGATGCTGCTGTTAAAACAGGTTATAAGATGTTTCTGGTCAAAGTGCAGCCATACGGTTTAAACTGGACCTGTGGCTGATGGCTTTCTAACTGCTGGTGCAGCTATAGACCATGTGTGTCGGCCTGTACCTCCTCCAGTCGGTGTAGTAGAGGGTCCTTCCAAAGGAGACGAGAGCGAACGGATACTGGATCCCGTCAACGATCTGTCTCCTCAGCCGGCGGTGGGGATCCATGCACTCCACCTTACGAGTACCTGCAGACCAGCATGCATCAGTCAGTCATCACCCAGGGATACCCGGCTCATACACTAACTCTGAAGGGGTGGCGCCAGGATCACTTCCTGTCAGGTGTGACTCGCCTGCATCGGCCCAGCACAGCTGCTGGCTGTCGGGGTCAAAGGTCAGCCCATTGGGAAGCCCCAGGTCGTCCTTCACCAGGATAGTCCGCTCTGTCCCGTCCATGAAGGACATCTCAATTTTAGGCCCGTCTCTGTTCCAGTCTGCCCAATACAGCTGCCTAAACCAACAGGATCAAACCAGTTACAGCAAAATACCACTTCTACTGGTCACATGTAGGCTGGCGGGGACAGAAGGGGACTGTTAACACCTGCTGAGCCAGGTTTAGTGCATTCAGTGCATCTCAAAAAGCTTAAACATTAAAGGTCCAATAAAAATCACTTTGTCTAAAAGTGCTCAGCTAAAAAAGTCGTCAAACATCTTGCTCAGGCCAAATGGTTCAACACATTCAGTTTACAGTGCGGTGACAAGAAGAATTAAACTGGAAACAACAAGTGTTTGTAAATAAACGATTGGATTTATTAAAAAAGCTGCCGAGTGACTTTCTGTGGCAGGTTCTGCTGAAGGCCCCATCATATCAGCTGGTTCTGCAGCTGTTGGTGTCCTTTCACTGCTGTGGCTGATCTCAACTCAGTAAACTGAATTCATTTGTGGCCAAACAAAACAAGACATTTAAGGGTGTGAGCCTTGATGACGACACTCAGTGATGTTTACACTGCAGAGAGTCAGTTTCACATCAGTGTCAGATAAAATGTATGAACAGCTCAAGAGTGAAGGGCCACAAGAACCCAGGAGGTGGACGCAGACACTCGAGCAGCCTCTCATCACTGCCCGTTGTACAGTTCAGGGCTCAGATCCAGCTGTGAGTGTCCGTATCCACAGCTGGCTTCCCTGAGGTCCCTTCTCCCCCAAGTTCCCACACTTATATCCATCCACATGCTATATTGGTCTGAAATCAATTATTACGCTCACAGAGCACATCTGTACTCCCACTGCATGAAACTCTGGTCTGATCAAGACTCCACAGAGCTGTGAGCCATCCGGACAGTACATGTACTCACCGGTACTCCTCCTTCAGTACTCGGACAGTACATGTACTCATCGGTACTCCTCATGTTACTGTTAATGTCATGTTTTTACCTAAACAGGAAACCAGCTGCTGTGTCTCACATCTGTTCAGCAGCCTCCTTGTTTCCAAATTCAAACTTGTGTTATTTTGCTACGGACAGTCGACTACGCTGACGCCCTCCACTGACGCACTGACGCACGCTACAGACACACTGACGCACGCTACAGACACACTGACGCACGCTACAGGCACACACCCCAGTGACTTACTGGTTTGAGCGTCTGAACGATGCTCGTTCCCGCTTTACGAGTCTGTTTAAATGTCGTGTTTTTGTTTAGGGAAACGTAGTTTTATTGCACTTCCACATAAAACAGCACCCCATATAAACAAAAACAAAATACTACCACTGAGGTACTCACTAGTACTACGTATCATACTGTATTATTTCTATGTCACTCCAGTTAACAGTAGCTCCACCTTCACCGGCAGCAGCATTAATGAAGGCATCATAGACGTTAACGTGGGCCCTTCTGCAGGATGACGACTTCTTAAATTGTGGTATTTGCTAGTACTTTTGTACTTCACTGACATTTTGAATGCAGGACTTTTACTTGTAACAGAGTATTTGTACACTGTGGTACTGCTACTTATACTGAGTACCTTCCATCACTGTACAAACAAACAAACCATTCAGCACAAATAAGAAAAGTTTCCAATAATCAAAGACGGAGTAATAAATATCCAGATTCGTCTGGAATCGGTATCAGACACTTATTCAGCAGCGGGACACAGCAGGTTGAAGTACTACTACCAAGCTAATAGAGACTAATACTACTGTTGGGAAGCTAACGAGCTAAGTATTAGCTTGTTGCCCTAATGACCCCGCGGAGTCGACAGACCTACACCGTGTGCCGCGCTGACCACCGCTCCTCCTCCAGTCAACAGGAACCAGTCTGTGTTGAAACACGGGTCACTCACCCGTATGCTGGGTTGGTGACGATGGGCCGAGGGTTGACCAGGTCCGTGTCAAACAGGACTCTGCGCTGGCTGCCGTCCAGTTTAGAAACCTCCACGGTGTCTCGCATGGAGTCGGTCCAGAAGAGGAGACGGGCCACGTGGTCGATGGCGATGCCTTCAGGACTCTGCAGCTCTGGGCACACAAGGTTCAGACACAGAACACACCTGTCAGGAGAGGGACGGCAGACCACGCTGCCTCAGACGCTGGTGACCGGGTCCAGGATTGAACCCGTGACATTTACATCTGTAAAGCTGCGTTTCAGTCTTACAAGTGTAACACAGTCAGTGTGTCATTTCATCAGTGTACTCCTGAGAGAAGCAGCTGATACCGACTGTACCCGCTGGGTACCGAGTACAGGTATATCTAAACAACTAAACTAAACCCTGTGACAGTGTTGGAACTGGCCCGGCCTGTGCACGCAGACGTGATTGTTGTGAGGCGTGAGCGTCGTTCTGCTCGGTTCCATTCAGTTCGTCTTGTCCATTCCGTTTGCTGGCGTCATGATTCAATACACAGTTAAAATCCATTCTTGATTCAGTAACAACAAAGAGGCACATTGTACCCCGGACAACAGCCCCTCTCTCTGCAGAACCCCGCTGTGGACCCAGTGCAGCAGTGGGTCAGTCTGCTGGTCCCGGGTCACTGCTCTACTAACATTAGCCTGGAAGTGATGGGGTACAAGTGGTTCACTAAATGACCCACCTTTGTCTTGCAGAGCTCGATCTGAAATCATTAAATGCCTTTTTACAGGATGATCTGCTGTGGAGCGTTAAAGCCACCAAAACCACATTCAGAAGGCTTGTCAGGATCTGAGTGAGCACGCACGGATTTTTGAAGCCTGAACCACAATCCCGATCATGGATCATGAGCGTTAAAGCCACCAAAACCACATTCGGAAGGGTTGTCAGGATCTGAGGGAGCACGCACTTATTTTTGAAGCCTGAACCACAATCCTGATCATGGATCATCTGATCATACTGGTTGAGAGAATACCACTAGAACCAGAAAGGAGCTGAACACAGACACTGTAAATAATTTGACTAACTCAAAACCTGATCGTTTCTAAACAGCTCCAATGTGATAGAGGTCATTTAGTGTGAACCCAGTTTGAGGTGTGAAGCCTCCACACAGCGACTAAGACAGTGCTTTGCCTTTAATGTCTGTCGGTCCTGGAGCAGCCTGTTCGTCTGAGCCACACAGCTCCACTGCTGTTCAGAAGCAGCAGGAGTCGGGCCGTGACCGACATCTCTGGATATTGCCAACAAAGATCACCTGGGATGTTGTCATGTGACAATTGCCAGGTGAGGCTCTGCGACTCGCTTCAGATTAGCAGCACGAGTCAGACACAGTCTTATCTTCTGTTTTGTGGAGGACTGACTACTTCCTGCAGTGGGACTAAACGCTGGCGTTGGATCCAACGGTCAGCGGCTGGTAGGACAGGAACTCCTGTGGAGACTAGGCTTAGTGACAAGCCGACCGTTCCAGGTCCACTAAACACAGCTGGGCTGCTGCTTGTTTACAGGGAGCTGATGTTCCTACTGTACCTGTAGTGACGACCGGGATGACGTCTCCTTCGCTCAGACTGGCCTTGCTGATCGCCGGCCCCGTGATGTCAGTCCAGTAAACCGTCCTCTCCACACAGTCGTAGGCCACAGCGATTGCCACCCGGTCCTGACAGAAAACACAAGGAGAGACAGACGCCTTCATTCATCTGGAGACGTTGACAAAGAGTCTTTTGTGCGACGTGGCAGACGGACAGCTTTGTGTTCAGCTGCAGTGCATCAGCTGTGAACTTCACAAACGGAAGAAGAGAGTTGTGATGTGTGTTGAAGAACAACCAGAGGATTGATTCAGAGCAACGAGGAATGCTCCGAAGCGGTTGAACCGAATTAATTAGGAACAGTGACGCTGTATGTTCTCCAGCACCCAGGACCGAACGTCGCCACCACAGAAACCCGCCGCTCGTTTAGGACTTGGCTGCACTTCATGATCATTCTTGTCTTTGTGTTTCCAGATCTGAGTATCTACCCTGAGCCAATCCCAACAGAAAAGACGACACAACTGCTACATCAAACCAGGGCTTCTTACGTTTCACACTATAAGAGCCTTTTAACGCCACACAGGATGTAATTTATTACCAGTTTCACAGCCATACTGCCGCCACGCTGAGTCCTAAATCTAAAGAAGATTTCTGTAGGAAGGACCTCAACCTAAAACCTGGTGACTGTGGTCGTCATGGTGTTTGCACGCCAGCTGCTGCCTCTTTATGTGCGACTGTTTCCAACACTGTTGTGTGTGTGTGTGATGATGTGCTAGGCCTTACAGGGATGTGCAGCAGAGCTTTGGCCTCCTCCTTCTTTATGTTGTATCCATCCAGAGGAACGTGTTCAATCTTCCCGCTCTGAGCGAACAGCAGGTACGTCCCCGAAGTGACGGGGAGAAGGCCGGGCCGTGGCGTGGGACCCACCGGAGCAGGGGTCACTGTGTGATCGATGCCTGTGGAGGAGGACAGTCACACTGCTGTTGGTTTGTGTGTGTGCAGGTTCCACTTCAGTGACAATGAACATCTTGACTAACACTGTAACTCAGAGACGGGATGCAGTGGAAACTTCCCGCTCACACCAGACTCTGCAGCGCCTGATGGTTTTTAAACTTCCATCAGCAGACTACCAGTACAGTGAACATGCATGTTCCTTCGCCATGGATACCACAGCGAGACAGGAGACAGCCCAGGTGCTTCTGTTTCCTGAGTGATTTTTGCCATGAACTTCTGTTAAAAGCCACAGAACTAAAAACAATGTTTAAGTGGAGAGTCCAAACTTCACAAAGATGCCAAATAATGTATGTCAGAGAGAATCTGAGGTAAAATGGTTCGTAGACATCTACAAATAGTTTCTGCAGCATTTGGACTGATTGAAGAGTTGGAGCGTGTTTATCACATGGCGGTCAGGATTATATAAATTGTATAAAGTATTTCAGATAATACTCCCCAAGTCTGTTCTTAATTAGTCTTGTGCTTTTTAATGGAGGAGACAGCAGCAGCAGCACAAGCTGATTGTGTCTGATCAGTACGGAAGCCCACTGGCACCAAATGGTCCTGTATCTACATATATAAGGACTCTCAGTTTTGAGAAAGTATCTCGTTATTTAGAGATAAAAGATCTTTTTTTTCCAAATCGGCTTCAATATCTGCAAAAGACTAGAAATGAATTTCTGTCCAGCTCTACTTCTGTCGGTACTGCCTGATCATCTCAGGGTTAATGCGACCATTTGAATGAGTTTCACAGTGTTTGGCAGAAGCAGCCGACTCACACAGAGGAGTGTGTCCCGGTCTGGTCCGGGTGTTGGGGATCTCCTGGCCGCTGGCGTCCACACACCAGCACTGTCCGATGCCGGCGTGGCACTGCGTGGGCTCGTAGGCCCCATGTTCATCACACTGAGGGACGTAGTGACCGACGGCCGGCCGAGGACGGAAAAAGAAGAGGTCTGAGCCGGGGGAGGTGGCAGCCAGGGCGCTCTCTCTGTGGCGCTCACATTGGGTCTTCTCACGCTCTGAGGACACAAAATAACAGTGAGACCTCGACACAATCCAGATGCTGTGTCAGAAATATGGAGATCTCTGCTGCTAAACATCTGTTTAGACTCTGGCCTTGATTTGACTTTCAGACACAGACATAAGTAAAATCCAGGTGCACCTCAGGATGTAGAGGAGTATCCCTGCCTTCATCTCCTCATCACCAGCAGTCTACAGCTACACCAGACAGACTCATACAGCAACAAATTTAACTTGTGTCAAATATTAATGTGAAAAGTCAGAATGTTTGATTTAGATGAGTTAAAGTCTCTGTTAGTCTGCATTTTGTTCCAACAAGCCCAAAGTATTTTTATTTAATTTGCTATTTTCCTGCTCGTGAACAGACAGACTCTGTGGCAGCGGCAGACAAACGTCTGAGCCGCGGAGAGAACCACAGATTAAAGACGAGCAGGAGACTCTTCATCTCTGTGGTCGTATCCATGAGCCACAGTGACGTGAAAGAGCCTCACACTCTTATCTTCAAGGGTTTCTATCTACAAGACAAGCCACAAACCAGACATAACAGCCCTGCACAGCAGGCAGCGGTGTGTCCTCACAGCAGCATGTTGACAGACAAACCACAAAGAGCAAGAAGACCCTGAGAGAGGGGCCCAGATAAGAGGAAGTGGAGCTGCTCACAGTCAGAGCCGCTGTGACAAGCTGAATGAATGCTGCTTTCAGAGGCCATAGAAAGGATGGAAAGATGTTGGTGGAGAACAGTGACGCTGTAATTAGCTCCCAGCTGCTGACACCTGGAACCAGAGAGGGCGTCTGCAGCTTTGGGTCGACGCCACAACAACAACAGCAGCAAAGCAGGCAGAGGAAAAGTCAGATGTCTGCTGTCAGCAAATCAGGTGTCTCACACCTCCGACCTACTGGTTAAAAGCCTCAGGGTCACGTCAGACGCCGCTGTCTGACGTGACCCTGAGCTGCAATATCAAGTGTCTGTCAAGTCGAATCTGTTTACACTTGTCTCCAATATCCTTCACCTCGTCTCTCAACAGGGTTTATCCTCAGCAGAGTTTACACAGCTTCGCTTCGTCTCTGAAACATGACACCACCTCCGGTCTGAGCGAGCTGCCGCCTCCTCATCTGAAACTGGAATCCCTAAACATTTCCTCCCTCAGTCAGGAGGCAGCAGAAAGGGCCCCACTGCTGTTTGACTTGTTTTAACCCATTCACTATCGGTCTTAACACATCTACCACCCAGATAGTTTGAGCAGGACTACAGGTGTACCTACCTGAAGACGCAGGGCTGCAATGGAAGCCATCACCATGGAAACCAGGGCGGCACTGGCAGGTGTAGGATCCCTGTGTGTTGAGGCAGAAGGCGTCACGGTGGCATCGACCCTGCTGACACTCATCTACGTCTGAACAGGCAGAAAGAAACTAAGGTGAGGACAAACAGGCAGTGACACCATTTCTGGAGCTAATGTAGGATGCAGTACCTCAAGTGGCCACTAGATGCTAACCCCACAGAAATCCACTCAAAATGTCCCTGTAAACAAACGGCTCCAAACTGTTGCTCTGTGCAGCGTGAGGAGCTGGCGGAGCAGCGTAGGTCAGAGACCAGCGACTGTCCACAGTGAGGCTGTTCTCAGCCTGTGGAGCCGGTTGTTGGAAACGATCTCCCATGTTTCCTGAGGAGGAGACCTGGCCCCCAGTGCAGCGGTGTGGCTCACTGGGGGGGTTAATAACTCAGCCACTTTATAAATTTTCACTGACGTGTATCCCAGAGGGGATTTTAGCGCCACCCTCAGGACAAGCTTTACATTTACGCTCCACTACCAGTGAGGCTTTGTGAGCACAGATTGTTCTTGTGTATGAATGTTCAGATTCCCCACAGCTGAGCTGGTGAAATCACAACAGAGTCGATGAGGAGGAGGAGGAAGATGTATAGTTAAGAGACGAGCTGCACAGCTGTAAGGCAGGGTCTGCATTTCCTGCCCCGGGCCCCAGAGCCGCCTCATGTTTCACATGGAAACTCTTCTTCTGACGCTGCTGAGAGGATTCTTCCTGTCTGTGCTCTGTCATATGCCAGAATTATGACTAAATTAATTTGATATGTTTGTACAAACACTTTCCAGTTTCCAGTTATTACACTTCATATTGATTTAATGTTGCCCCTGTGTGTTTCCATGCTGTAGCTTCCCTGCTGGTCCTGCTGTCCACAACACGTCGTTCCTCCGCTGTCCTCCCTGATGTTTCTTACATGATTCTGCACCGAAGCTTCTTCCTCACCCACTCTAAGAATTGATGTTGTCTTATTTTGTAGTGATTATAAAGCTCCTGAGGCAAATTTGCAACACCTCCATTCTCCAAAATGCTTTACTGTCATCAGAGGAAAGATGTTGCAGACAGTTCTCATGTTGCATCGGTTCAGCCGCGTCACACACTGCAGTGACCTTCAGCACAGACTGATGGTGACTAATATGTAGCAGCTACTGACGCGAGTCACACCGCTGCCCAAGGTCTGCAGACACAAACACACCCGCAGCTGATAAAGTCAACTCTGAAAACTCACCCCGACACACCCGACCGTCTCCCTCAAACCCCGGCAGACAGGAGCAGAAGTAGGCCGAGCCTCCGGTGTAGCTGCACAGCGCTCTCTCAGGAACGTCACAGTCATGGGTTCCTCTGTGGCAGTGATCCACTGGTCGGTCCTCGTCTGCAGGCCCAGACAGAAAACACGTTAGCACCTGTGCACAGACACACAGGCCCAGTGTGGTTGACGGCAATGACTCAAAACCTGCACTGGAGCGGAGTTAACCCCTCAGCAGATGCCAGCCATTTCTAATGAACCCAAAATAAACGGGACTGTTCGTCTGCTCTGGCTGCAGTCATAACCCCGGTGTCCTCCGAAAGCTCCTTTCATAACAATAACACAGAATCGTTGGAAGAGATACTGAGCCAAAGATACAGAGACACAAACATGCAAGTTTCTTTTTTTTGGCATAAAATAGAAAACATGAGACCTGCAGCAGAAGCTTGTGTGTGGAAACACAACAGAACCACAAGTCTGAACTACTTCTGTGTTTTTGTTAATGCCAGTACAAGGAGCTTTCTGCCTTGTTTAGAAGAATAAACAGAATCAAGACCCAGAAACACACCTGATGCTTCACATCAAGAGTCTTTCAGCAGAGAACCAGCAGGAGGCTTTTATTGTGAAGCAGCTGGAGGACATGTAGTGTTTGTTAACATGGTAGTCCACTGTCAGTGATGCCAGGATCTCTGTGAGGCTGCACTGGGGCACAGTGCTGCTTTGAGCTACATGCTAACAGTCGTGCTAACTGTTTGCCATACTGTATTCAGCATCTTAGCTTATTATGTTAGCGTGCTAACCTCAGCATCCAGCTGTGGCTGATGGGGACATCAGTTTTGTAGGTACTTGGTCATAAACCAAATTAAAATGTTGACCCCACGATAAACAGAGGACCAGTAAAGTTCAAAGGACTTATCCTCTGAGGACCATGAGTCTTGGTACAGCATTTGATGACAAGTTGAGATATTTCAGCTTGGACCAAAGCGGTGGCCAACTGGCCAACGCTGGCTGAAACGGGTCAACACGAGGTGTGGACGTGGATATTTGGCGTGATATTAAAGAGAAACAGCACAAGTGAAGTGATGAACATCATCATCTGCAGCTCTCTGCTGTGCTGTGGACATGTGGACATCGCTCTGTGTGGACATCGCTCTGTGCTGTGGACATCGCTCTGTGGACATGTGGACATCGCTCTGTGCAGTTAGTGCCAGTGAGAAGAGGTCAGGGCAGCACAATATCTTAGACGACAGTTAAAGCCTTCACTGAACAGCGGCGGCTGTTACAACCGGTAGTTTATGAGAAATTTAAGGCACTTTTTACACAGATTATGTTGAGTAACCTCGACTGCATGGTCATGACCGATCCCTTCACACAGACTCTTCCTCATAAACAACTCAGTTCTGGTGCAGGTCTGTGTTTTAGTCACATCTTCTCACCACAAAGAACTTCAGTGTGAAACGTCCCATTCACAGTCGAACAAAACCTTTTTTATTTATGTCTCTTGGCAGCTTTTAGAGCATCTGCATGCACAACAAAGGACTCTCCAAACAGGGGCTACACACTCCACCCACACAGCTGTCAACACACACACACACAAAGATAAACGCACCTATGCAGGTCCTTCCATCGCTGGCGAACACGAAGCCCATGGAGCACTCACAACGGAACGTTCCAGGCTGATTACTGCAGACGGCGTTGGCTTCACAGACCTGAGGGGTCTCCCTGCACTCGTCGATATCTGCCAGTAACACACCAACATGGGGGTGAATCACAGTTAGAGGCAGTTTCTCCCTAAACCCCAGTGACAAGTGTGGAGGCCAGGAGTAAAGCTCACTGCGATCAGCTGATCTGTGTCTGCTGGATGTGACAGTTTGTATAGTATTCATCCAGGGGCGGGTGTAGAAACCGGGGAACAGTTTTTAGGATGGGGGGCGCGTTTCAGAAATGGGTTAAAAATGTAGTCTGTAATAATATGGACATATAGCTGCTGGGTGAAACCCTCATGTCCCACAGCCAAGTGAGGAGACACGACCCCTGGACACGACCCCCGCCCCTCACACATCGGAGCAGCTGTGTCGCTGTGGTGGTTCTGGCTCTTTATGGCTGATCTGAGCCTCTGTGGTCGTGTCAGGAATGTTAGCAGTCCCTTCATACAGATGTTCTGACCCGGGGGCCCGTTCTGTAATCCACCCATTGAACAAACAACCAACACCTATCAGCACTTTATTTTTATTTTTCTGTTTTATTCCCAGTAAGTAGTTTGTAACTTTGTTCTGAAAGCTGCTGAAGAATTCAAGTCAAACATGTTCCACATGAATTCACACAGTTTCTGTGCGTGAGCGTGTGCAGGGTGTGTTACCGTGGCAGTAGAGTTTTCTGTGCGTGAGCGTGTGCAGGGTGTTACCATGGCAGTAGAGCCCGTCTCCAGTGAAACCAGCAGCGCATTCACAGGTGAACTGGAGGCCTTCACCTGGTCTGCACATGGCGTTGGTGTCACAGCGGTGCTGACCGGTGAAACACGGGTTCTGCTCTTGCTCTGGAGCGCCTGTCGGGAAAAAGAGAGACGCTCACAAAGTCTGCCAAGCTGCACGCCATGGAGTCTGATGCATTTCAAGACTTTTCAGTGTTGCTGCTGTACATCCTCCACTTTTTATAAACTAAAAACTCATCTATTTTAAGCCAAGCTGTGAACGTACTGCAGCAGCCATGTTGACGTGTTGCCTGTTCATGAGTACAGGACGACCCACTGGAATAACCTGAGCTTCCCCGACGTCCAGACGCATAATCACTGTATCCAGAGGACACGCCGACAAACCTCACTTGTCTTTTAATTGTCCCAGATTCCCACAGTCCCGGGGTGACGTCTCTAGCAGCACTGTATCGCTTGTTTAACCCACAGTAAACCCAGACATTCAGGTGAACTCAAAGAGAACACAGCACATCCTCACCGTGGAGAAGCTGGGACCGGATCAGCTTGAGAAGCGTCTCAAAGCGTCTCTTATCAAGTTGTTATCGACCAGTCAGTCAAAAACAAAAAAGAATCAGCAACTGTTTCAATAACTACATTTCAATCAAAACAGCCAGAAGCTGAGAAGGTGACAATACCAGCTTTTCATTTCTTACGCTGCAGCAAACGGACGATTTTTGGACTTTTGGTAGAAACAAACAAGACACCTGATGACATCACGTTGTGCCGTAGGACACGGTGGCGGCCATTTTTCACTGTTCTGATGTTTTACAGAACAGACTCATCAAGAATATAATCATTAGATTAGCCAATAATGACATGATCAATAGTTGCAGTCCTAGCTAATCAGCTGTCTGAGAGGAGAGTAGCACGACTTGACAGACGGAGACCATGTAGGCGGCGTCTTCTTGTCTTCCCATCATGCAGCTGACTGTTGCAGCTCATCGTCACAGGAAACACGACCCAGATGTTCCACTTTGTGCCAACAAACCTCAGCTGAGTCCTGTTTGCTTGATTAACTCTGAACCTTTGAACGTCCCCTCTACACCCTAACCCTCCTCTTTATTTAAACCAAAGGTCCTCCTGATGCCCCCCCCTCTCCTCCCTGCTGCGGACTGAAGGCTGGTATCTCGTTGATGTCACCCCCCGCCAACACTCTCACAGCCTTTCACACTGCAGCTGAGGAAACACAGCCGGGGGCAGGATGCCGTTTGTCTTCCTCTGATGTTCTACAAACACCGCTGAGGCACTAAAACCGCTGGAGCTGTTTTCTTGGTAATAACACCCATGTCTTTACTCTGACTGTCCCTGACAGACGGCCAGGAGACGTCTCTTCTGGGAGGACATCACCAGCTCCACGTGACCAGTGTGCACTGTGCTGACCTGTGACTGTATAACTTCACATACAAAGTGAAGAGAAAACAGGGAGAAATACAAACGACCTGCTGACGAATGACCGTTTGACGCTCAGTAACTTAAACAACCAGAACCGATGAATCAAGGGGAAAATGAGGAGACCTTTTCTTGCACTTCGGACTTGCACCCCTCATAAACATGACCTGATATCTCAGAACGGTAGGAAATGTGTATTATCTCTATATAGCATCACATCTGTAATGGCTTTTCTTTATCTATCCGAACTACAAGTCAGGTTTTATCTGTACTTTTGTATAATCTTCTGCAGGTCTACGGTGGCGTCAGGACTCACTGTGGACAGAGCCGATTTTGTTGCTCATGGCGTAGCGGATCAGGCTGTTTTCGGCATCGAACATCACAAATATCTGGTCCACGCTGAGCTGCTGGGCGGATGGCGCCGCCCTGGTGGCCTCATCATATGGGCAGCTCTCGAAGGTGATGGTCTGACGCCAGTGGTAGCTTCTGGTCTGCACCGTCCCGTCATGGGAGGTGATGGTGTAGTTGCGGTTGGAGGAAGAAGTGATCACTGACAGAAGGAAAACAAATTCCTCAGCACAGCAGATTTTCACTTAAAGCCCTTTATTAGTTTTAGTTGTTAATTCTCCTTACAGTTTGTGTTGTACTGGTATATCTCCTTGTACAGGTTGATCTGGACAGACGACCCTAGCGGGACGGCAGGCAGACGGCCCTCCAGCTCAGTGCTCACCACCAGGTGGTCGTGTTCATCGATTCCTTGAAACTGCTGTCTGATGCTCAGACGCTCGTTCCCGGGCTGAAAGACAACCTCGGCCTGCCGGGAAAACACACCGCCTGCATGGACACAAACACAAGTGTCTCAACAGAGTCCTGCAGCATTTAAGAAAATACAAGACAAGCAACAAAAGTCCTTTACACAGAGCTCTACACAGCAGCCAAACTATCTCCTCACCGATGAGCCTGAAGCCGTTCTGGTAGCCGGGCTGCTCCAGGGCGAAGGCCCAGCCGATGACTCCCCCCAGCGAGGACAGAGGCTGCAGGGAGGGACCCATGCTTTTGGGGATGTTGCTGATGGCCACGTAGGCCCGTCCGTCATTGGCCACCACGTACGAATGCAAGTCGCTGTTCCCAAGCTCCACAGGTGTAGCCGAGTTCCCCACAAACACTCGACTATTTACCTTTCCATTCATCCTCTGTGGTTTGCCTGGAAACCAACAAACATTTGATTATTACAGCAGAAGTTCAGTAGTTCGACTTAAGGATCAGGGCCAGCGACAGAGCATCAGGCGTTCTATGGAAAAAAAAAAGCTCATTTCTGGGATGGGTGCAGTTTTATGTTTGAGAACACAATCTCACCCTGCAAAGGTTTAACGCTGAAAATATTTCCCACCTTCTGCAACACAGTCCTTGCCGTTGCCATAGAAACCAGGCCTACAGTGGCAGCAGTACCCGTTGCTGTAATCCCGGCAGTCAGCGAAAGGTGAGCATTTGTGCCTGTTGTTGGCACATGTTTCCAAATCGTACGTAAATACTGTGAAAACAGCCACAGAATGTATCAGTCAACTCTGCTTCAGTGAAAATAAGATTTAAGAAATTTCACAGAAGCTTAGGAGGGTAGTGGGTGTTGAGGTTTGAGCTGAAATGATTTACCATTCACACCCAGATCTTCATCTTCATCCACTACGAAAATCTGGGGCTGCTGGGACCGGGAATGTGGTGGCACTGAATTGACTGGTTCAGAGACAGTGTAGTGTGGTTGGACTGGTTCAGGGTCAGGGTAACTCGGCTCGACTGGAAGGCGTCTAGGTTCACTGGGTTCAGGGTCGGTGTATCTTGGTTGCACAGGCTCTGAGGTCGGCTGTCTGGTTTCAGTTTGATCGGGGTATCCAGGCTCAGACAGATCAGGATATGTCGGCTCAGTTACATCGGTGGATGTCGGCTCAGGTACATCGGCGGATGTCGGCTCAGGTACATCGGCGGATGTCGGCTCAGATGGACCGGGGTGTCCCAGTTCAGGCAGATCAAGGTATGTTGGATCTGGTTCATCTGGGTACATTGGTTCAGTCATTTCAGAGCTGGGGTGTGTTGGTGTGACAGTCTCAAATTCAGTGTAATTTGACTCAAACGGTTCTTCATAATCCAGCTCTTCAGTCTTTGGTTCGATGAACCTTGGTGTGACAGTTTCAGCTTCTGGGTATCTGGGAAGGTACTCAGTGGGAGTCTCAGTTGAAAACGCCTCCTTTCCTTCTAGTACTGGTGCTTCAGTCGTCATCGTTGACTGGGTTTCGTAGGTTGACAAGTCTACTTCTTGTCCTTCATCGGGATGCCTTGGCAACATGGTCATGGCATATGACAGAGCACAGACAGGAAGTTCAGTAGTTTCCTCCTCCTCAGGAAGTTCAGTAGTTTCCTCCTCCTCCTCCTCAGGAAGGCTAGGGACCTGACCGGGTGTGATGGTGTCCAGTGAGTCACTGATCTCGTACACCCAAACTCCTTTCCGTCCTGAGTTTGTCTTTCTGGAAATAGGAAAGAAGAAAAATCTGTCACATTTTTAACATTTTAAAACTGTTAAACTGTCCAAGCTGTGTGGAGCTGCAACAAAACATTTGCTGGTTCAAACTATCTCCTGGAGAAGATGGACCTCATCAGGTTTGAAAGAGATTTCAAGTTAATTTTCTACAACTAATTGCAAAAGTACCACTTTTGGAACTACTGGTTTTTCCTTATGTAAACACATCTCCTCCAAAGTTTAACTTGATATTTGCATTAAATCTTCACTAGCTCCAACGACCACCGTTCATTAGTGAGGTATTCTGTTACTACACTGGCTCTCTGCATGCAAAGCTGCTCCACAGCACTGAACATACTGCAGATTGTCAGTGTGTATCAAACTGTCAAATGCTGTGATATGTGAATCACTGAAGTGTGTCTTCTATTTTCAGTTTCAGTACAAAATAAGCCACCAGTTGTCAAACAGTGACATCAGATTCATACTCAGTAAGTTCCCTGACGGAGGTCCCGTTATCGGTGGTGATGCGGAAGTATGTGCCCTGTTGTGTGCCCCAGAACCAGTGCTGCACAAGGCCTTCATTGAAGCCGGCCTCCAGGAGCGTACTATCTCCCCCCAGGGATGTGGAGACAAACTGCAGGCCGTCTCTGGGGTACAAGAGGATGGCGCAGGAGGACGACACCATGGAGGCAAGAACCAGTTGGAAGGTGTTTCTCTACAAGAAGAAAGGAGATGTCAGCAGACATTCTCTGTTAGTCTGCGGGGAAACAGTTCTGCTGAATTTCTGTCCTTGCTCATAGTTGTTTGCCATGATGCTGCAGGATCCGAGCAGCGCTGATAACATAGAAATTCCAGACCAGAATCAGATCGATACACTGCTCCAAAACACAGACAAAGCAGAAGGTACAAACACTGTACAGGTCTTGAATCAGTTTTGTTCACTTGTTTTTCTGGAGGCTTTTCTATAAGACTGTGTTGGATCTAAATCCAGCTGACTCCTCCTATACTGCTGCTGATAACGCTGATGTATCTGTCAGGTTCTTGTGCCAAAGTAAAACCACAGGCCTGAGATATAAAACCACCCCCACCCCAAAACAGCTTCTTAAAACTCCAGCACGGTCCCGCACCTTTGTGTCCAGGCCGTCCCCTTGTCCAGAAGTCCCATGGGCAGCCATGTTCTCCCAGGTGATGACGAGGGCGCTGTTGGGCTCCATTCCTTCGTCTCTGGGGAAGGCCTGTCTGATGTGCATGGCAGCTCGACTCAGGATACCCGGGCTGCTGTCCTGCCTGAAGTAGACCTTCCCCTGTCCGTCACTGTTGTCCAGGTCTCCCAGCAGGGCAGCGATCATTTTGAAACTGGTGGGCATCTTCCCCAGGTACTCCTTCTCAGCTGGAGGGTTGACCATGGCCACAAATCCATTTGTGTTAATCTGGAACAACAGGATGTTATGGTTTGTTAGTGAAGGGTCTCTGTGTGTTACTCAACAAACTACGGCATCATTCCTGTGGCCTGTGCATGTTAATAACAAAGTTCATCTCCACCAGACCTGTCGCTACGTTCAAATCGAAAGCTGGGACCCTCAATTTCATTGAGCAGGCACAGCTATTAACATAAAGCAAGGATATCAGAAAACGGCAAACGAGCATCCTGGCGGCCTGGTCAGAGCCCAGACTCAAACCCTACAGAAAATCTGTGGACTGGCCTGGAGTCTGCAGACCGCCAGCCGTCACCACCCAGTTCGACTGAGCTTGAACAGTTCTGTAAGGAGGACGAAGTGTCCCAACGCTGCTTGGTCCATGTGAGCAAGGTCGGTAGAGAAGTAGCTGAGTCCAGGCTGTGGCGTGTGTGTGTGTGTGTGTGTGTGTGTTTACATTTCAGGCTGAGAAACAACATAATGTGAATGTTTTGAAAGGGGGAGATTCTTTTCTATACCCAGTGTAAGTACCTAAAGTACTGCAGTGAGGCATCATTTTTAGGTACTTGTACCCAAGTATTTCCAATTCTACTACTTAGTGCTTCTACTCCACCACAGTTCAGTGAATACTGAACTCTCCAGTGCACTACATTTATCTGACAACTTTGATTTTACATACAAAATAGAACTTCAAACAAAACCTATGAAATATGACTCATTACTACAGAATAAAGGCCGTGTGTGTACTTATACACACAGCAGTGTTTGCAGTTTTTAGGCCTGCTCAGGTTGCAGAGATTTACACAGTGACACACCATGTGTTATCAGCGACAAGGCTGTGGGAGGACAAAGCCTTTCACTTTGTTATACAAGGTTGGACAGCCTGTGATACTGGTCAGGACAGTGCTCGTCCTCTGCCAGCACCCAGCGTGCCACAGTTCACCGGTTTCCTGCCAGGGACCACTAGGGCAGGTTACTGTTTCAGTGTCAGGGATGGACACCTTGGGCCATTGACCCGAGATCCTGGATGTCAAGGGGCTCCCCGGGGCTGGGGGTGTGTTTGAGAACATGATTCGCTGTAAAACGTTTTCACAGAGGCATTTCAAACAAACCCAGAGTTTCAGAGACTCTCCACATGACTGTGGACAGGGCCTCTGTTTACTGAGGCAGATCATTTGGCAGCTGGTCGTCACCAGGAATCATTTTTATAATCTAAACAAGTCTGTTGTCAAAGTAGAGAGACTTTACATCTGCTGTGAACAAAGGACAGAATGAACATCATCTCCACCCAGCGGAGGCTGAAGATGATCTTCGACTCAGGCCGTGAAGGCATCAGCAGCTCCAGACATAAACAGTGTATCTTACAGTCTGCACTCCTCAGCCTTATCTCAACATGTACATCAACCAGGCAGAGAGACGAAACAGCTGCTCCCCTCTGCACACAGATGGGCCTTCACCCGGTTAAACCTCCTCCTCGGCTTTAAGTCCTGTTTCCTCAAATAGGCGAGGACATGGATGAGGGGAGGGGGATGTGACTGACATCAGATTATTTGAACAAGAGTTCTTCTGCCTGTTCATATCGTACTGGAACAAGTGAGTCCGCTCTGAAGATGCCGTCAGGTCTCAAGAAGCAGCTCAACCTTTAAAACTTCCATGTTTCCATTAAAGGATCAGTTAACCCAGATCACCCAGGTGCATCTCAAAGTCTGGGCCAAAACATCTTCAAACTATCTGCATGACTAAGTGAGAGAGTAAGAGTTTGTGGTTCAGGGGATCCACAGCTTTACATTTGTCCTAGTGGGACTCAGCAGCTTCACAGCTGGACACAGTAGCGCTCTTTGCCACATCTGTACTATGTGGTTGCCAAGAATATGAAGAGGTAATATCACCAAGTCAGGCCTTCACATCTGAGGCAGCATGTCCGCACCACTTCACCAGATAAAAATATCTCGCAAATACACGTTCTGCTTGGGAACTTGACGATGAGCCACAACTGAGTTTAGAGAAAAAAAGAGCTCATTTTCATGTGTTTTGTCAGAAACCATAATGATTTTATAGACTAAAATACACTGCAGACCTCCAAAAGGCCATGCAGATGGGGAGAGGGGGCTTGTTGTTTCTGTGACATGCAGCCAGGGGACTGAAATTTTAATGTTGCTCACAAGAGACGGAATGTGACCGTGATCATCAACATGTACACGACACACGAGTCCGACTCATGCTGTAAATGTGCAGGATGAGTAGAAGCACATCCTGCTCCGTTCAATCTGTGGACGCCATGTTAACGGTCATGCCTCTGATACCAGGACGCCAGTGTCGGCGGTAAAATAACAGGAGCAGTGTTATGCTGGCTGTCTTTAGTTCCACGTAAAACGTGTGTTCTCTCAAAGGCAAAATGTCCGTTTACAAAAGCACCTGACTCACAGCTGCCCTGACTCATGGCGCCGCCTCCTGACAAACAGGTGTTTGAACGTCTTCACAGAGAGAAATGTCTCTGAGCAGAAGAGGAGCAGGTACATCATGAGCCTTTACAAGCAACCAGCAGCAAAGGTCAAAAGGTCAGAGGCTCAGAAAGAAGGAAACATCTGAGTGTGCGACGCTGCTGAAGAGACAGGAAGCCCCGAGTGAGGCTGTCTCACCTCAGTGCCTCTGTGAGCCTGCAGCATCACAGACCAGCCCTCAGGGCAGCTTTGGCCACCGTGGGCCTCCCTCCTCCCACAGACCTCCTCCAGAGAAATGCATGAATGACAGCAGCATGTGGGGGGAGGCTGGGGGTCTCCCAGCAGGTCTCTGACTGTGGGGGAGACGCCTGCAGAGATAAAGACACTCGAGCTTCATCTCAGAGCAAACAGCAGATCCTTTGTCTGAGCGGAACAAGCTAAGCGCTAATGACATTCCCAAGGCTTTCAGGGAGTGAACGGAAGACAGAGGATCATGTCAGGCTCAGGTGGGAGCCGCGCCTCTGTCCGCGCGGGGGGGGGAGCAGCAGCAGCAGCCACACATGCAAGTCATGTTGGATGCCACCGGCAGAGTCCTCACGGGGTTAAACCAACACTGATTCATTTTCCCGAAAATTTAGAAAAGTTGTCCATTTTCTGCTCGTGCAGATGGAGTACACGTCATGTCACGTGCACTTTGGACAGACACTAGAGCACATTAGACAAAGGAGACGAGCAGCTCCACAGGCTGAGAACGGCCGACACTTTGTACAGTGTCTGAAGGAAGACAGGCCTCTGATCTGTTCACACTGCACAGAATGAGGGGGAACCTGGGGGGGGGGGGTTCGTCCTAATAGCTGGTGGACAACAGTGGAGGTCTACGATGAGCTGGACCAGGGTCTGGACTCACACACATGACAGTGAGGACACCACGTTCACCGGGGCTGCTGGTTTCTGGACGGGGTTTGTGGGGAATAAGCCAGAAAATAACAGACTCAGGACTCCCAGCAGCCACTCGTCACCTCGGTGCTGACCACATGCTGGTGATACCTCCTGCTTTAAATGATCTGGTTCTACATGGGACCGCTCCTGTAGTGTCTGAGGACCTGTTCACATGCTGCTCAGTGGAGACTTGCCAGGACGTCGCTGACATCACACATGTCCGACCCCTGAGATCATCATATCAGTGTGGGAACGGCGGAGGGAGGGAATGCTCTGAGCGCTGCCATCTGATATCCGATGACAGATGTCTTGAATCTATACGTTCCAGATGTGCTACTCCACCAGGACGCTGTGCTTCCTGTTGAGGACCAGGCGTACAACTGGAAAACCTCTGCAGCAGCAAAAACTGGAGCCGAGCCAGATTTTATTTTACAGTCTGCACCGTTGTCAGTCCTGAGATCACTCACAGGGAAAGGAAAGCTTTAAGAGCGTCACTGTAGGACTGACAATTACTGAGCACAGGCAAACAGGGCGTCACTCAACACAGGGGGGCAGAGGGGTGGATAGAGGCACCTACAAGGGGGGGAGGGTCCTGAATGGACTCCAGACTCACATCGGCCAATCAGAGCCTCACTCAGTGGGAAACTCCAGCTGAGAGACAAACACCGACAGCTGAGCTTCTGCTCTGAAACGCCACATTATTACAAGCTTAATGCAATGTTTGAGTAAACACTGCTCAAACCCCCAGAGCTTTAAGTTGTAATGAGGAGCCCACAGCTCCCACAGACACCAGCCAGCTCAGGCTGGACTTTAGGTACGAGTGCTGCACATGGGTGGCACAGGTCGAAGCACGTTGGACGAATGAAGAATGAACCGGCTCTTGGAGGTTTCAACACGAAGCTCAGTTGTTGTTGAGTATCCAACCAAAATGTGTCCATAGCTCTGACTAGTGAGAGCTGGAATCAAACGTCTGGTCCAAATCTTCTGAGACGGTTTCAGGTTTATAATGTGCTGCTTTTACACTGAATTTTATTTAGACCTGAAACTGCATGTGCTCAGACTGAACCTTGGCTTATTCAGCTAAAACCGGGCTTCTGATTTATCAAAGTAACAATGAAGCAGTGTTACAGCACTGGAGCCCAAACTCGTATCAGATCAACTGTGTCTAAAGTGTCTCAGGAGAAATATAAGTACTGGACAAACAACAAACATCTCTGCCCGTGGGTAAAACCAAGAGCACATTAGGTCCGTACGTTTCCACAGCCCGGGGTGAACGACGTCTGTCCTCTGACAACCAGTCGGGCTACATGTCTGCCGGGGTGAACGACGTCTGTCCTCTGACAAGTCGGGCTACATGTCTGCTAAGAAATGAAAAGCTGAAACGCCACGGCAGCTGAAATGAACCATAAAGGCGAGCGGAGCGGGACCCTAATCGTGGCCCATTAGCTTCCTGTGGAGACGCCGAGGCACCTGAAGTTCACTGTTTTAATGGGAGGAGGGAGAACATACAGCGGACAGACTGATGCTGGGAAGAAAGAGACACTCTGGACGTGGCTGCATCAGGGCGTGATGGAGGCTCAGCGGCTTTTCTGAGCACGTCAGTCACACGGGAGTGAACAGAACATGTTACAGATGTTTGTGACATCACTGGTCTTTTCCTGTACACACATTTTGTTTCATCTGGTACTGGTTTTATCCCTAACTTGGCCAGCTGGTCCCCATTTCCACACTACATACTCATCCTCACTGTTTACTGTTTTTGAAGGACTACAGGAAACGACACTGATGAATGTGACTCACTCTGAATGACTTTTTGTTTCCCAAGATGTCCCCTAAGTTTCCTCCTCACTATTTGACCCTTGTGGGAACTTTCTGGCCACTTGTCTTCAGCAGAAACATCCAGAGCAGGACAGTTTAGCGCCTGGGACTAATTGTGTGTTGCAATAGCCGGATTTTATTTTGAGAGACTTTCAGGGAGAACACCGTGTTAAGAGAGACTACAGGAGGAAACGTGGGAAGCGGGGAGGCGTGAAAGTACGCCTGAGGAAGCGCCATCTTAACCGCATCCCTCTTCCCACTGTTATTATGGGGAATGCACAATCCCCTGAGAAACAAGGTGGATGAAATCCATATTCACCCAAAGGCGGACGCTGCTTCTGCCTCCAGTACCATCTTTGATGTAGTACAGAGGCTGCAGTTCCGGTAAGGTTGTACTATTCCAGAGACATGTTGCTACAGCTAAACTTGTACAGTTTAGCGCCTGGGACTAATTGTGTGTTGCAATTGCCGGATTTTATTTTGAGAAACTTTCAGGGAGAACACCGTGTTAAGAGAGACTACAGGAGGAAACGTGGGAAGCGGGGAGGCGTGAAAGTACGCCTGAGGAAGCGCCATCTTAACCGCATTCCTCTTCCCACTGTTATTATGGGGAATGCACAATCCCCTGAGAAACAAGGTGGATGAAATCCATATTCACCCAAAGGCGGACGCTGCTTCTGCCTCCAGTACCATCTTTGATGTAGTACAGAGGCTGCAGTCGATTTCACGGAGGCTCCAAATTTTATTCTCGGGGATTTTAACCATGTGTCTTTGAAAAGGACACTTAAAAACTTTTATCAGTATGTCTCCTGTCCAACTAGGCAGGGAAAGACACTGGACTTTTGTTATGGATCGATAGAGGGGGCTTATAAATCCCTTCCCCTCCCTCCCTTGGGCTCCTCTGATCATAACTGCAAGCAGCTATAAAAGAGCCTTTGTGCCTTTAAAAGGTGAAAAATTGTATAAATTCATGATTCAGCATCTTCTCTTTAAATGTTCTTTAAATTGCACTTATAGCAAGAGTGCCCAACGTTTTCCATCATAAAATGTTTTTCCCAAATGTCCTGCTTGTAATTGCTCGGTGCCCTCCTAGGTGGCTCCAGTCCCAGCTTGGAAATTGTATTTTAATTTAGTTTATACTATTTATCGGAGATCGGAGGTCCTGAGGCAGACTGAACATGTACTGGATCCTTTGCAGTTTGCATATAGGCCTCACAGAGGAGTGGAGGATGCCACAATTACTCTGCTCAATATGCTTTTTAGACATCTGGATCAAAGTGGGACACACGCCAGGCTTTTATTTGTGGATTTTTCTTCTGCTTTTAATACAATACAGCCTCACATTTTAATTGAAAGGCTTCTACAACAATTTGATTTGAGTAATAATCTGGTAGGTTGGATTTTGGATTTTTTAATCAACAGGACACAGAGAGTCAGGGTCAACGGCATATTATCTGACCAGAGAGGTTCTTCCACTGGTTCTCCTCAAGGGTGTGTGTTGTCACCTTTACTTTTTATTCTCTACACAAATATGTGTCAGAGTAGATGTGACAATAGAACTATTATAAAGTATGCTGATGACTCAGTTATTGTTGGTCTCCTCAGTGATGATGAAAGCAGCCATGGTTCAGTCATTGAGGAATAATATTTGATCAGTTTTACAAAATTTTAAGCCCAAACTGGTACATAGGTATCTGAACACCGTGCACACACTGAATCACATTAAACCAATGTACACTTAAGAATGTGCACTGTTTGAGAACAAAAGCAAAGTAATAAACTTCTTAAACTACATGTGGACACAATGTGCATGGGCGGAGCCAAGAATCTGATTGGCCAGCCCTGCCAGAGTGAAATATGATGCTTGTCAGTATTAACGAATGAAAAATGAAAACCAGTGACAAATTGTTGCCTTAATACAACTAACATTGTAAAGAAAAGCACTGTGTCATGATGGAACTACGAGTTTTATTTACATTTACATGCATTTCAAACGTGCCACCCCCGAGTCTGTGCCTCAGCCTGGCCCCCCAGTCCAAACCTTCCTAGATCCACCCCTGCTAATGCAGCACTGGCCTTAGTTTATATTCGACTTCAGAAGACGTGCGTTTAGTCCAGGAGTGGCCAGCTGGGCCGTGCTGCTCTTTGCCTAGCAGGTAGTCCAGCTTTGCTCAGACTAGATCACACTCACTTATTTACTTTAGCACTGAAACAACGAGTTCATTAGATGAAGTGACAACAAAACATATGATGAACTCTGAGCCACTGCTTGAATCACAAAAACAGTGAAACATGAGAGGAGGTGCCTTTTTGTTAAACACCATGGTAAACCTCATATCATGTAGTTCTGAACTGTTGGTCGAACAAAACCAGACGTCACCTTTGGTTCTGCAGAGCTGTGTTTTTAGACCAATCAGTCAAAAACATAAGCAAACAATTCATTGCAGCCCTTCCTTCCTTCTTGTTCCTCAAGAGAATACGTGATAAAAAGAGAAGCTGATGTGTTTTATCTGAGTTTTACACCGAGTGTGGACGCTCCAATCCAGATTAGCTGTCACATGACCTGAGGAATGCGTGATGAAAGGCTTATTATCTGAGCTGGCTCACATTCCTGCCTCTGTGCACGTATTTAGAGGATCCACCACCTCTGCCTGTGTGAAGCGACAGCAAACCTCCTCACACCAACATCTCACCACAGTTACAACAACCACAAAGCAGGCAGTCAGAGGCAGGAACCAGCTGCTCCGGCCTGGATCTGAAACCACAGCAGCAGCCGCACAGGAAACACCGTGGACTGTGGGTGTAGTTTGGAAATGTGTGAATTCACAGCAAAGGGCAAATCTGGCCAGCAGAAGACAAAAGGGGTCAGGACGAGCACATAATGTCACATGCACACTCAGAAGCCCTAAATGTGTCAAACACCCCTGAATCTATGGAACATAAGCATCAGCTCACTGCTCACTGATCCTAGTCCAAGAAGCCTGGTTCATCTGAGCCCAGTGGAGGTTTTGGGCTCAGCTTTCTCATTTCAGTTACTTAAACCCTGGGTTAGGACCTTCTGTCCTTCACTGTCACTTTTAGTTTAAAACGGATTCTTAAGTAAAACCCATTTTTTTCCGGTTTCACGCTAGGAAGCAGAAAACTATGGCGTCTAAACGTGTTTGTGATCCATATCCACTTATTTCACAGTTCTGAAACCGGACTTTGTCATTTAGTTTGGGATTCAAACTCATTTAGGTTTGTTTAGCTCTAGTTTTACTTCTGGGCCTTTGCCTTATCTAAATGTTTTTAACTTTGAACAAACAGCTCCCGTTGACCCGCAGGCGGTAAACCACGAACCGACCCGGGTGAGCTCTGTCCGTTAACGGGTCACCTCCGAAACCTTTACACCGAGCCTCAGCACTTTCTCGTCTTTAATGAATGAAAGTCATGGTTAAACCCCCCGTGTTGCCCACCAGTCCCATCACAGCCGGTGGCTGAACTCACATAAACTTTGTCGAAGGACGACTGCCGGGGGGGGGGCGGCGGGGGGGGGGAGCCGGAGCCGGGCTGCAGCTGCTGGTCTCCGGCTTCTTCTCCGAACTCAAACAGCTCCTCCAGCTCCAGAGCCCGGGTCCAGACGCTCAGGCTCAGCAAGCACGACCAGACCCACAACCAGCTCCGGGATCCGGGACTCATCTTTCACCCTGTTGCTCCGCAGACTCAGTCAGACCAGCGGTGCTCCCAGTGAAGAAAGCCGGGGAAGAGGTGGGTGCGACGGGCAACACGAGCAGGCGACACGGCGGCAGGCTGCGGAGGACTGAGGGAGAAGCGGGAGGGAGGGAGGGAGCAATGGAGTAGCAGCGTGGGTAACAGCCCGGGGGGAGTACTGACGATACAACATCCGCTCAATGATTTCAAAGTAAAAGTCTGCGTGCTCGCCTACTATCCAGTAACACACCGGAAGGGCGCACTGACTTATCTAAGTCAACAACTGGAAACCTGAAAGAAGCCAAAGAAATCTTCAGAAAGGTAAGTTTTTTCATACACACACATCCAAAGCATTATTCTTTCCATAGATCATATTCTAAATATTCTGAATAACAAACGTGCATCGACAGTTGTGATCTTTTGTCATCCCTGATGCTCACAGCAGCATCCAGATGCCATGTGCTCATCAGAAGAACATTTTTGTTTTTTGGGGTGACAGGACACCACAGCATGGGTCTCAGTGAAGGCAAACTTCGATGAGAACCGAGCCCTGTTGGTTTTTGACACTGGTGCGGGGGAAGCTCAGGCCTATTCCTCCGTACTGTTCCCACCATGTACAGCTTTCTCTTCAGCAGCTGGAGGCCAAGGAAGTAAGGGAGTTGTCACAGGTGATCGTTTTCCCCTGGAGACCTTCTGTCATGTCAAGGACAACTCGCATGCCCTGATGTGTTTCTGACTGCACACCAGCAGGTTTGCCAGTGTATACCTGCATGTTCCATGCATAGCTGGACCCGGCATCGCTTGCTGCCCATATTTTTATCCCATATTTCCCTGTTTTACTAGGGATGTGCTGTTTGAATGAACAGTGACCTCTGAAGGGGGCCAGGCGCTCATCCACAGTCACATTAGTGCCTGGATCATACATCGACCACAGGAGAGACGCCTGCTTGTCCCATATATCTCAAATGGGAGCAGGTTTGTCTCATGCACAGCGATCTTCTCTTGTGTCTTTATCATCAAATCGAATTACTCTTTGGGATTTTATGAAACATCTTGAGTGTCATGGTAGCACAGAAAATTGCCCAACCAAACTGGGCATGTTGTCTTCACAAAACATTTGGATTCCTGCCTACGTCTTGCACTGTGGTCTACACCTACTGCTCAAAGCTGCTCCAGCTTTCGCGTATTATTGCCCTGACTGTTTATACTGTAAGCACATTGGTCACCATTTGTTGATTTTAAACATGGTCTATAAATAAATTGACTTGATTAAACCTATTGACTTTTAGAAAGACCTACTGCCTAGATAATACATCTGGTGGTCATCCATAACTCCCTAAACTGTAGTTACCCTCTATAACACCTGGAGTCCCCGGGAAGTATTGTGAGGGTCATGTTCTTTGACTTCTCCAGTGCTTTCAACACAATCCAGCCGTCACTGCTGAGGGGGAAGTTGGAGGGGGCAGGTGACGACCAACACCTGTCTGCATGGACCATTAACTACCTCACAGACCTCAGTTTGTCAGGCTGTGTGACTGTGTGTCGGACATGGTGGTCTGCAGCATGGGGGCGCCCCAGGGGAGGGTGCTTTCCCCCTTTCTGTTCACCCTCTACACGTCGGACTTCAAGTACAACTCCCACCACTGTCACCTACAAAAGTTCTCTGATGAGGAGATGAGAGGGGTTGTTACTGACTTTGTGGAGT